GTTTTGAAATAGGTTAAACTTCTTGTAACATATCAAAAACAATGTAACAGGTGAGAACTTGAGCATCCGTGATGTAAGATTAATAACTTAAAAGGAATGGTTATTGATCTAGAATGTGAGGAAAATGATATTGCAAAACAAACTCAATGGTTGGAGTCTCGGGGCAGAAAGCGCAAGCCTGAAGTTGATGCATGGATAAAAGAATTACATGAATTGAAACAAAGAGTGGATGCTATTAATATCTTGGATGACATGAATGAGTTGTTCAAAGATATGAAACGACACAAGGGAGAAAAACCTCTCACTTTGTCCACTGAATTTGTCGGGAAAGAATTAGACTTTAATATCAAGAAAGTGATTCAACTTCTAAATGATGACCAAGTTTTTGTTATCGTATATATGGAATGGGAGGAGTGGGAAAAACTTTACTTGCTACTCTTGTGGAGAATGAAATAAAAAAGAAAAGAACTTTCAATGATGTGTTTTGGGTCACTGTTTCTCCCAATTTTACCATCTCAAAACTGCAATACGATATCGCAAAACGAATAGGCGTGGAGCTTGATGAAGACAATGAGAGAATTAGAGCAAACAAATTGTCGACGACGTTGGAGACAAAGGAGAAGTCTGTTCTTATTTTAGATGATGTTTGGAGATACATTGATTTGGAAAAGGTGGGTGTTTCTACAAAAGTGAATGGAATTAAAGTGATTCTCACAACGCGTTTGAAACATGTGTGTCAACAGATGGATTGCTTGCCAAGTCATATGATAAAAGTGATACCTCTCTACGATGTAGATGAAGGTTGGGAGTTATTTAAGGTAAAACTTGGACACTACGGAACACCTGCTACACTCTCCCCTGAAATTGAAACGGTTGCAAGAGATATTGTAGATCGGTTTGCGGGTTTGCCGCTTGGAATCAGTGTGATGGCTAGAACCATGAAAGGAATTGATGAGATTGATCAATGGAAACATTCATTGAATAAGCTTAACAAATTGGAAATGGGACAAGAGGTGATAGAAGAAGTTTTCAAGGTATTAAAACGTAGTTATGATAATTTGATGGAAAAAGACTTGCGAAACTGTTTTTTGTATTGTGCACTACTATCTAGTTACGAAGAGAATGACAGAGAAGAAACGATTATGAAACTTGTTGACAATGGACTGATAAATGGGAATAGGTGTTTGCAAGAAATATTCGATGAAGGGCAAACCATATTAGATAAGCTCAGATCCCACAGTTTGATGAGTGGTTTTGATCATTCATTTGAATTTAATTATCGCTTGATGATAGACACGGCATGTTATATTATGAAAGAAAGTAAGAGAAATGCTATGGTGAAATTAGAGAACGAATTGACAAAGACAAACATCACGCATGAATGGGCCGCTGATTTAGAGTTTGTTCATATGTGGGCTGGTGAATCAAATGATATTGAAGAAATTCCAGAGGGCATGTCACCTTATTGTCCGAGGTTGTCCACCTTGATTATAAATCAATTGGCCGTTCAACATATTCCAGAGAGTTTTTTCAAATGTATGAATACCCTAACAATACTCGATCTGTCATATAGTAAAAGACTAGAATGCTTGCCAAATTCTATCAGTAAGATGAAGTCTCTTGTTTCTTTAGTACTAATAGAATGTAATTCACTTAAACATGTGCCGCCATTAGGAGAATTGAAGGTATTGTCAAGATTGGTTCTTTCAAATTGTTCCATTGAAGAACTACCACAAGGTTTGGATAAGCTACAGAATTTGAAATGGCTTGATCTATCTTTCAACAAGAGTTTGAATTTTGAATTAGGGTCTTTGAATTTGACCAAAATACAATACCTTGATCTCCAAGGTACTCGTACAATGATTACTGTCGAAGATATTCAAAGAATGTCTGTGTTGGAATGTTTTGGAGGTGCTTTTAACTGCAAACATTACAACCAGTACTTGGAGAAATATCTTGGCACGCGATCTGGGCTCCAAGCATATTATCTCATATTAGGAAATGTATATGGTGAATCAAGAAGTGTTTTGCGGAATGATATTTATTTGAAAGCATTTGATCCAAATGATCCTGAAGTTATGACTATACTATTTAGAGACTGTGGTCATTTCTCCCACATACTACCTAAAGATCTTACATGTTTGAATATAGATAAAAATGATCATTGGGTTTGCTTATGTGATGCTCTCTCATGTAACACTAGTTCTTCTTTGAAGAAAATTGGAGCTTATAATTGCCAACAGCTAGAGAGGTTGTTTTGTTTATCTGATTCTTGTTCCTTTTGCACCAAGATTCACAACCTTGAAATGTTGGAACTTGAGAGTTTGGAAAGGTTAACCGTGATTGACGTTAATGCAAGACAAACTTGGTCATTGGGTGGCATATTCTCTTGTCTAAAAAGTATTTATGTTTTTGAGTGCCATTTGATAGAGAAGTTAATTACACCAAAGTTAGTTGGACAAGTTCAAAATCTGGAAATAATTTCAGTAAGGCGTTGCAATTCAATGAAAGAGATATTAGCGGTGAGCGACGACATCAGACTTCCCAAGCTAAAAAGATTGATATTGGATTATTTACCACAATTGAAGATTGTATGTAAAGGGAGTATATATTGTGGATCTTTACCTCCAGAATTCACCATCTCCAACTGTCCAAGTTTAGAACGATACCCTACAATTAAAAAGTTGTAAGTTTTAATATAGCCACAAACAACACTCCTTCACATTCAGGAGCAGCTGTTAGTTTAATTGTCCTCAGCCTTCTTGGTATGGTTGTGTGCTTTGTACAGAAAAAGAAGAAGGGAAAAGGATCCAAATCTGATTATGCCGCGCCTCATCTCACAATCCAGGTAATTATTAGCAATGTTGTTTCTTATTCACCTTGATTACACTGGATATACTGTAATAATAAATAGACAAGTCCCTCTAAAATATTCAATATTGATTCAAGGGGTTCATTCATTGAATTTTGCATTATCTACAATATAACTGCCATATGTTAATAGTAACTGTAAATGGCTGCTACAATATTTGTTTTTAAACATTGATTTTCTCCTATAGGTACCTTGTTCTTCAAGCCATACGCTCCAGCCAATTTGAATGGTAGTGATTTTGTGGAGTAAATAATTCAAGATCATGGTTAACATATGAAGAACTAATCCAAGCTACAAATGGGTCTTCGGAGCAGAATTTGTTGGGAGAAGCTGGATTTGGTTGTGTCTACAAAGGTTTGCTAGATGGAAGAGAAGTAGCTGTAAAACAGCTTAAAATTGGTAGTGGACAAGGGGAGCGTGAGTTCAGAGCTGAAGTTGAGACTATTAGTCGAGTACATCATCGTCATCTGATTTCTTTGGTTGGTTACTGTATATCTGTGCATCAAAGATTGCTCGTCTATGACTTTGCTCTGGTAAGCCACTTTTATAATCTATACCCTCTGATGCAGAATACTTAATAACTTTTTGAAGTATTGTGTGCTTTGTAAATCGATTCATTCTTAAATGATAGCTTATGCCGAGCGTCTCGAGTTGATGTTACTTCACTTTTTCTAATTGGGACTTTTTGTTTTATTGATATTATTTGGCCATCAGGTTTCAGATTTCGGGCTTGCGAAATTAGCATTGGATTGGCCTTGGAACGTTCGAGACGACCCTTTATAGCTGCAACATATCTGCATAACTTTTCATGCGTAGGTCAACTAGTAATTCCTCAGTAGTATCTTGGTAAAGTTGTTGCATTTCTTCCATTTGGCTGGGACACGTGTTGTGGTGTACTGATTTGTATATCTTTTATTTTTAATACTATTTTTATTCTTATTTTCCTAGTGTGATTTTACTCTGTTGATAACTGAAATCCATGTGATTTTCCAAATATAATTTGATATTAATATTTTTAATTCTTTTAAAATTTCAGACAGTCCCATATATTTTTTTTTATTTTATAATATTGTGTCATATTATTAATATTCAATACAAAATACAACATATTTTCATTCATATAAGCACATTTTAACATATATGTTCTTAATTTGATCAAAGGATTGTTGAATAGTACAAATGGTTTTTAAAAGTATTTACCAAAAAAGGAAAACGATAACCAAAATATTCAAACTATAAAGAACTATTTAAAAATTTAGTAAATTTATGTATATTTAGATAATAATTTAACTTTGTTTCTATTTATGTATATACAACACTTTCATATTTTTTACTCGAGCGAATCTTATGTGTTACACGATCCAAACTACAATCACATTCCAAAACAATGTAGAGCTTTTACTGACTCACTCTGCCCGTCGAGGAAATTGTTGAAGAAATCCAAACTACAATTAGATTTCAAAATAATGTAGAGTTTTCACTAGAATCGGTTTGTCAACTGAGGAGATCATTGAAGAAGCTATGTCACGCAAAACTAATCTGTCAAAATTCGTAACCTTAACTGATAAAACAACCCAAATAATATTGCAATAACATGTAGAGAGTCACGATTCCTTGCACAGCAGCTTCTTAAACAGAACAATGATACGCATCACTAAAAAATTCTCAAACTTAAACCAGAAACAGCCACCAGTAAAGCAATAAGATAAATTTTAAAATTAGTGTTTAAAAAATAAAGAGTATTGTTAGCATGACCCATAAGCAAATGAAATGAGAAGTTTTGTTGGCATTAGACATAAGCAAATTGGAGCTTCTTTTATGTATGCAGTTTGAGTCGATTTTAAAAATTTAATCTAAAATTCATTTAGAGTTTTTACAAAATAACATCCAAACACATTCAATAATATTCAATATATTATATTTTCAATTATTTTAGATAAATGTGCATTTTTTATTAAGATCGGTTTAGATTAGAAAAGATCTGTAGACATATTTTCCTTTCCACAGTGTGAGTGATACATAGTGTCTTACTGCAGATAGGCCCTTTCTACTAATGCTTATTGCTCCTCAACTGCTTTGAGTTATTTCTCTGTAGGTAAAAACCTCTCATCTACGCCTTTTTGATAAATCAATTTGACTCTAATGTGAGTTTTTCACTACAACTAGAAAATCGATTTTCCATCCTCCTGTTCCTCAAAATCACTTCTGATTCCTTCATCAACTTGATGTATTTCTTCCTCACGCTCAATAAAGGATGCTTCTCGATAGCAGATTCATTGCAGTAAGCTTCCTTAAGAATGACAGTACATGTTTTATTCCTGAAAGACATGTAAAACATATGGGGATGCCGCTCGAATGCTCTGTGCACTTTCTGTGGAAAGCCGAAATACTTCTTGAGACAAAAGAGCTTTCTTCTTTCGGCTGAATGATCGATAAATAGGGAAAGCAGTTCGTGAAGAACGCCAATAAGTCTTTTCTCTGCTATGTTGCTGTTTGGATCCAAATTCGAGAAATCTTCATAGGGTGAAATATACGGTAGCTTCTGAAATTCATTTAGCCAGTTTTCAATCTTGCTTTTCATCCTTAAAGCCTTTGATGGAAAAAAAGGAAATTCAATTACATCAGTGGCACTTTTCATGGCATTCTTCTCCATTATAGAATAAACTTTCTCTCCGCTTTCAATAGCCAGCCCCTTCAGTCCATCTTCCATTTCTACAAACCTGAAAGATTCATCGAGATTTTGTTCTGGATGCTGCAAAAAATCATTCGGCAACCCCAAATACCATTGCATCCCCTGAATTATCTTTAAAGGTAGAACATTCTCTTTGGTCATCAATATCATCTTCCTCAACCTGGATCGCAATTCCTCCCTGCTTTCTTCATATACTCTTTTCTCATCCCTGTCAATCTCAGCAGCTTCAGATGTCAACCTAAACCAAGGATGATTATACTCAGGACCTGTAAACTCTTCATAAATGGATGGATATTGTCTCATAAATCTTGCAACCTTCATCGGGACATCTAACTGTAATCCCCTCTTAGATACGGCAGAGATAGGGATACACCCATTAGGATCCTGGGTAATGCAGTTTTTTAAGGCAATTACGGGCTTGAGCTGAATTGAGTGGTGAATGTGCTCAATCGATTCATAGTATGAATCTTTTTTCCATTTCATATACACGTTCACATAACTATAGCTCTGAATGTGTGAGAAAGGAAGACCAGGGATCTTGTAGCTATAATACAAGATTGATACTTCAAAAGGCTTGAGCAACTTTCTAATTGTTTTGGCTGCAGATTTTTCCAAGTTGAATAACATCTAGTAAAAAAAACTTTGACGCAGCAGTTTCCAGTAATATGAAGGAGGAGGTTGAATAATATTTGGATTTTTGATAGAGAATTACTTTTGAGAGAGCTCAGTATTGACCTGTAGAAAGTTAAAGGATGATTCAGCCAAACATGTTACAAAAGAAAAAGTCTATATTTAAAACAAACAAAAAATATCCAGTAACGAATTCAAAGTCTACACAGACCACACCAGATCTTCACAAAATAAAAAGTTCCAGTGTATTTTCTAACAATGATTCACATAAACAAGGAAAATAACAAATGAATCGAGGAAAAAAAACTATTCAAAAATCAATAGAAAATAAAATAATCATTCCGCGAGAACTTCATATTACTCCAAAAATAAAAAAGCAGCCATAGCATATGAGATCAAGTTTGTACTGCCATCAAGAAGAATGAATGCTAAAGTGTAGCAAAAAGACTAATTCATCAAATATGCAACCACCACTTTTAAAATCATATGTCAAGGAGTACTATTTGACAATCACAACTGTGTAAATAAATAAACATGGAGGTGTTCCAGGTTCTACACCTATGGCTGGTGGCTTTAAAAAAGCTGACGGCAATTATGTTAGGACATTGATAAATGTAAAAAGTTACCAAACAGAAAACAATGTATGTCTCACTTTCACATTTGAGCATTTGACAATTGTGAAGCAAACTTTGAGGTACCTTAAAGCAAATTTCGTTCGACAGCAACAGATTTTGTTTCCAACAGCTTGAATTTCGTTTTGGCAGCAGCAATATGTTAGCATGTGATGTGAAGGAGAGAAGAAAAAGTAGAAAACCCTAATCCTTTTAGTTGTATTTTATTAATAAATGGACTTAATTTGGTTTGGAGTGTGTGAATGTACAGTATGGCCCAACAAGAATACAAAATTTATCTTTTTTACCTTATCTGTGGGCTGTCAGCGTTCACCCCGTTTTTTTGTGGTGCGGGGCAGGCCTACTCAATAACGCGGGTTTAAAATTCAAGGTTGTCCCGCACTAAATGACGGGCAAAAAACGGGTATGGCCAACAGGCCAGGCCAGGTCCGTTTGCCACCCTAGTTTATACCCCTTCAGCTAAATGAAAACTGTCATCATTAAGCATTTAGACTAAGTGGAATTTCTTACCTCTACTCTATCATCTTTCTACAAACATTTTCAGCTATTTCAACTAATTATCTGTTAATCCAAAATCCAACACCTAAATAAACACAAAAACCATTCTTTGTGTACAGCAAACCAACCATAAAAAAAAACCTACAAATTCGTATCTAGAAACATACCCTGAATGAGCACTGAAAAAACAAGGATATAAGAAAGATGTACGTTGAGGCTTGTGACAGAGAATGACGAGTAAAGCGATATTTGAATAGCATACAATGAGAATATGAAACGGAGGAAACGTAAACTTAGGAGGATAAGTTTACAACAAAAACGCAAGGACTGGATTGTTGAGAGTGGCGGAGAGTAGACAAACAAAATCACAGGCATTGAGTCGAAACTTCTGAGAGAAATTGCAATGAGGAATGGGTAAAAGCATTTTTGTAAACTCTTACACACCAAGTGTATGCTCTCGATTTCACTTTTATAGAAACTAAAATTGATTAGAATTGATTTTGACATACTAGGTTTCTCTCAAGTAAAATTGATTTTACATCAACAAATGATTCGTACTTGATATTTATACTCAAATTTATCATTCACCTCATCTTTACATAAACGTATTCAAATATTAATCAGTTTACCTATCAATTTTATCAAAATCAATCTGTCACCACGAAACAACCATAACACAAATTAGATTTAACTGAAAATCGAAGCAAACAAGACCTAAAATCGCAAGCAACCTAAAGCTCTATAGCACGGACGCCTCTGGAAAAAATGTGTGTCCGTGCAATGTCAGTATCGGTGTCGTGTTTCTAGTGCCATGCTTCATAGATCTAAAGAAAGTTTCAAGTTTGAAATTCATCACAATACATTATACCATCCTCATCAGCATAAAGCAACCATGTTATCTATATATCAAAACGGTATAACAATTAACAACACAAGCTAATTAACTAAAACGAGCATAAAGTTTGTTCTCAAATTATTAACATGTTAAGGGAGACGAACTATGACGGAAAAATTATCACCTCCGGCGTCACGATGACAGAAGTTATAGTCGAGCGGTGGGTAAGGAAGGTGGCTTGCGACGGCGACACGGTTGAGGTAGACGAACCAAATGGTTGTGTATGGTTCCGCTTTCTGGTTCAAGTTTATAAACCAGGCCAATTTTTTACGCAAGAACCGGTTCAGTATTATAAAGTGGTTCATTAACACTTTTCTCTATAGAAATTTGGGTAACCTCTTAGCGTAGTAATTTTAGTACAAGTGCTAATTCCTCAAATAGGAGAGAATCACATACGACACTAAAACTATTTAACACTTTTGTTGAAATTTCTAAAATATTCAATTGATAAATATAATGATTAATCTTATTTAATTTTTTTTAAAAATTATAGATATTTGCACTGATGTATTATTGCTTATAACTTTGAGTTTTAAATCAACTCTCATGAGTTTGAATCTTGATTTTATTGATTTCGGATTCAAACAGATGTCATGCGTCTCAAACGATACGTCAACAATACTAAATCATTGTGTTAATTTGATTATTATTTCAATGGTAATAATATATACCAACACAAATATTCATTGAATTAAAAAATACTTCTCTTTCTAAGGGGATATTAATTTCTTTATAAATAAAGATATTGTGCAAACTAAAAATATATACAAAAATAATATAATTTTAGAGTTAAAAATCATATATAAGTCATTTATTTATTTCTCTAAAACATAAAAATAAATGAGGAAATCTTATTCGGTATAAAATATTAATTGATATATTTAATGTGAATGTAGTATTCATATTAAGATTTTCAAAATATCAAGAAGCGAATTTGATGATTTATCTCTGTATTAAATTTATCGAAATTGATGGATTGAATTAAACTTAAAGATTAAAAATAAGTGTAAACACACATTTTAGAATTTATTTTATACAACTTTTATCGTATCATCTTCATTTTCTTTTTATTCATGTATTGCAATAGATCCAACACAAGATCTAACATTATGCATGTCTAAGAATGTCTATAGATTAAAGATATATTTTATCATCTCATGTAAATGTTATTGGATTCATTTGCGATTATTAATTTTTTAAAGAATTTTAGTGTTAGTTTATTTTTATTTTTATTTTTCACGATTTTCTTTATGTATTTTGAGAAAATGATAATATATGACAAATTAAAGCTGGAATTCCGGCTGAAAAAATTTTAACATGTCGAGAATAAAATTACATCTGTTCAGTGGTGATTGCTATAAAAAAAAAGTATATTTTATTTTATTTTATTTTTTTGGTTAATCATCAATTTGTCGCAGATTCTCCGAAGATTTTTACAAAATAAAATTTTGGCCAAGGGAGTTTTGAATCATGGTCCTTATATAAGACTAATTTCGTTAATATACTACAGAGAATCCATATTGTTAAATAAGTTCCAGTTCTACACTAAAAACTAACACGTTCTTCTTTTTTTTGTTCTTTTAATAATTTATTTATTTGATTTTATGAAATGTATAATTGGTCATGCTGTAAAAGAAATTGATTTCAAATTAATTGATTAGATAAAACTGATTCCAAAATTGAAACCAAACTTAGAAGCCATACTTAGAAGCCATGGTATAAAAACAAATGGAAATGGACACGAGCATTTTAACACAAACTGTGGCCCCAAGTTCACACAATGGGATACAAAAGCACCCTCATTAAATTCAAACTATCACATTCTAGGAAACAAATTACAACATTTGGATACAATCAATTTCCAAATGGAGATCACTAATAATCCAATCTCTAAACTAGGAGCTACACTACCAAATGCCTAAAGTTATCAACAAATACCCAAAAGGTTCTCCAAATATCCACCATAGAAACATCAAATGAAAATGCTAAAGAAATTCAATCACCCTTCCTAAGTACCTCTTCTCCATGGTTATATATAACTTGGAGATCTAATTCCAATTGTTAATACAATTCAACTTCTGACATCATCTCTAAAGTTGATGAGGTCAAGACACAAACCAAAGCTGGTCTAGTGTTATGTGGTAAAAAATTTCCATAGCTTCTTCCCTACTGAAGTTTCACCAGGGTGTTGGTAATCTTCATCGTTCTCGTTTTCCTCCTCGTCTTCAACCTCGTGGGATACACTCCTGTACTCAGCATCATGATCCTCCCCGTCGTCCGCTGTTCCGTTCACCTCCTCACTCAGAGCCATGTTGCTTGCAATAGCCCTTGTGGTATTGTCATAATCTTCATGCGTCTCCGCTACTTTCTGAGACTGTAAGAAGTAAAGACTTAGCTTGATATCCAAAACTCATCAACACCGTATATCAAAAGACTAAAACAAAGAATAAAAGCAACTATATCAAGTTTACCTCATCAAGATCTATGCTGCCGCCAATTTCGTTGGTAATGCCGACCGAGTGTGAATGAGAAGCTTCTGCAGCTTTTGCACGACCAACCTCTCCATCACTTTCTTTGCCGCCACCAGACACGCCTTTAGCAGATGAAGTTGTGGCTCCGCTGAAAAAATCAACGCACACCCTGTGTAAGTGGTAAAAACATTGACAATCTTCGCATCACATGCAATAATAAAATGAAAATTAGGGGAGTACTCACGTTTTGGGTCGCCTCAAATTATATCTTGTTCCTCTAGCAGTTTGTACAGGAGGAGGAGGAGCAACCTTCTGTCGAGTCCTTTTACGTTGTCCTGGTATGTCAGAATGTCCTTCACTCGCATTAGCAGTAACTTGAGATGTTGTCTGAACCCGGTTTCGCTTCCGCAAATTTGCCGTTGTTCGTTTTTCAGTTGGTTTTTGACTTTCAGAATCCATGTTGGCAGAATCCTCGGCATTTCCATTTGGAAACCCCGTCTC